ATTAAAATACAAAGTATTTAAACCCCTAGAATCCCAGACACGCACTGTTTTGTCACCAGAGGCTGTAACAAGAAGATTAGGGTTTGAAGGATGCCAGCATAATTGATCAACACTATCACTATGACCTTTCATGGTGGTAGATAAATGCTAGAAGAAATATCTATTTATAATATATAAGAAATATCTAGTTATATAATATAAGTTTTTAATTTTAATATAAATATAAGTTTTTTATCCATAAACTTATTAAAATAAGAGCAATAATAAAACTTTGTTACATGAATTAAGACAAATTTTCTGATGAGTCTTAATTGATGAAACATAGTGTAAAATGAAAAAAGTTTGACAAGTGATTTTCTACTAATTTATATATATATATATATATATATATATATATATATATATATATATATATATATATATACATATATATATATATATATATGTATATATATATATATATATATATATATATATATATATATATATATATATATATATATATATATATATATATATAAATATATGAAGAACAAAATTTAAAAACTAAAAATATATTTCAAAAATATAAAAATTCTACTTAAATTAAAAGGTATAAAAATACTTACAAGCCTGTCTTTATCTAATGTATATATACTAACAGTTTTATCAAAGGAACAAGAAGCTAGATAGCGACCATTGCAATTCCAACCTACAGAATGCACCTGAAAGAAATTGTTAATTCATAATTTTCATTTTATATTTTAACTTTTCACTTGAAAAAACTTTTTTTAGAAAGTAACTGCAAAGTAATTAGAAAAAAATTAAAATAAAAAAAAAGGCTTAAACCAAAATAAGTTGGTTTCACACACCAAAAAGTAGCCTCACCTGCCTAATAGAGGATTAGTTTAATGCCATGAATAGGACAAGGTGTATGATGTAAGACTAGGACATAGTTTATGATGTACAACCAGGACTTGAGAAATGATGTATGACCAGAACATGGTGTATAATGTATGACCAGAACATGGTATATGATGTACAACCAGACCATGGTATATGATGTGTGACCAGGACATGGTTTATTTTAGTACTAACTTTAATTACTTAAATAAATTAAAAAAAAAAAAAAGGAAAGCAATTAAATTTAAAACATTTTACTTTTGCAGAGTGACCAGAAAATTCTTTTGTACGACCATAGTTTTGAAAATGCTTTTGCATGTCTTTATAGTAAGTTAATAGTTTTTCATCTAAGTCCATGCTTGATAACATATTTTTCTGTTGAAATATTTCTGCTTTTAAAATATAAATATTTATATAACTGAAAAAGTAAAAAAATTTAAAATGCATGCAAATTTTCTTTAATTTTAACTTGCAATACAACAATTGGAAATCAATGCAACTATGAAGTCTGTTGAATGGAAAAGCAAAAACAATAAGATGATAGCTGTTATGGTGTGACGTTTCAATTTATGTGCATGTGTGTGTATGTGTTTATATATATATATATATATATATATATATATATATATATATATATATATATATATATATATATATATATATATATATATATATATATATATATGATAATGGCTCTTGCTATATCAACATGATCAGTTGAAATTTGGACGTTTTTAATTAAGTTTTCTTAAAAACCACTAAATCAATTGTAATTTTTTATTTTATAATAATGCTTACACAATTAGTTTTTCTGTGAGTGGGTTAAGTTTTGTTTACTTATCACTAGTTTATGTCAAGTAAAGAGTCTAAAAATCAAAACTTTTTATTGAAATTTTTCATATAAAATTTATCAATTTCATATTCCATGATTTCAAATGCATGGAAAGTTCTAAAACCAACTGTTGGAATTATTGTAAGAAGTTACAAAAAAAAAATTAGTCATTTTTTAAGATAATGAAACTTACTGTAAAAAGATCACTCAATGCTTCCAGGTAATCAATACTACTATCAGTCAAAAAATATAAAGCTACTGACTAATTTAAGCACATTTAAGTTAAAAAATTCACTCTCAAGTTCCTTGTATAGAAGACATTTTTTTTTAAAAGCTTGTTGTTTTAAAAGCTCTCTTTTCATAAAAAATCAATCTTTCACATCAGAAATATATGGAACTGAATGCTTGAAATAACTTCGTCCATTAATTTAAAAGCACAAACCTTATTTTGGACAGATCTGGTATTGATTTACTATTCCAAAAAAGTAATGCAGTGGTATAAGAAAAATAGTCAATTTTGTTCCATGCACCAATCCACCAAACTTTTGTTCCACCAAACTTATCAGTGATTAATCTTAATCAGTGAGTTACTGAATCTTACTGTGATCTTACTGAATCTTACTGGGCAATTGTGAAGGGAATATTAAGAAAAAAAAGCAAATGTGCAAGTAGTGTTAAAAATTTCCAAGATTTATGAATTAATGCTACAAAAAAGTGACGGAAAGTAAAGTTGTGGATATGATGGGGAGTACTTTATAAAAAATTAAATTACTTGCATGTTGCAAAGTTATGGCTTAATTTTTTTTGTTGAAATAAAAACTAATTGTGTAAGCATCATTATAAAAAAAAATCATTACAGTTGATTAAGTGGTTTTTGAGAAAACTCAATTTAAAATTGTCCAAATTTCAACCGATTATGTTGATATGAGCCTAAATATCACATAAAAAAAAAGAAAAAAAGAAAAGACACACACTTCACTATTCAAAATAATATGTTAAAGAAATCACCCAATCTAATCCAGTGGTTAACAACTTAATTGGTTTAGTTGTTGCTTGTAGTTTTTTACCTATGTTATGAACAACAATTTTAAATTGAGTTTACAAGTAAACATGGTCCAGATTAGTTTTTAGTTATTTTTGTGTAGTGTTGAATACAATCAGCAAAGATTGTAATCAAATTTAGGGTTGCCTAGCCAAAGTGCATAACTTTATATATATTTTAGCTATATATATTAAAAATATTAAAGCTTCATAAGTAAAATTTCTGTACATGTAAATTACAAAAAGAAGTAGACAATAGTCTACTTCTTTTTGTAATTTTGCTGAAACATCATGGTTGAATATTTTGCTGAAACATCATTGGTTGGATATTTTAGTTAATAATTGCAAGATTTTTTTTTTGCACAAATTCTTTTTTTGACCATTGAATTTTCAAATGGAATAGATACCCAAATTTTGGTTTTAGAACTTTTTATAAATTCAGTAAAAAATAAAATTTTGGTTCAAAAACATACCGAAAACTGAAAAATTTGTAAGATTTTAAATATTTATCCAATTTAGAAGAACACATATTTTTCACAAAATATTTTAAGAATTCTCACAAAAATTTTGAGAATTTTCATAAAATATCTCGAAAAAATCTTGTTATGCAGAGAAAATCTGCCAGTTGTTAACTTTGGCTATTAATGTTGCCAACTTATGTATTAAACCTCAATTTGTGAAACACGTGTAATCAATTCTAAAATAATATGAGTATAAAAAACACTAGAAATGTAAAATTTAATTTTAAATAAATTTTTCTAATGAAATTAGCTGAAATGTCAATATCAGTTAACTTAACCGAAATGTTGGTATCGGTTTTGGTAAAATATTTGCCGAAAAGTCGGTTTTGGTTTCGACACCAAACTAGAGTACCTGAAATTTCGGTTTAATTCTGTTTCAGCTTTTTTTCTTGTCAATCACATATCATCACTGTGACAATTATTAATAAAAGGAATCAAAAAAGAGGGCACGTCATGTCAATTGAAGAATCATTTCTTTCGAGAATCGAAGAATCATTTCTTCAAAACAAACAAGAGGAGGAACAAGAAGTTTAATTTATAAAAATTCTCTCATAATTATTGAAAATATATTTTTAAAATGTTTATTTGGTATGATTTTCTTTTTTGTTATTTTAAGAAATACTTTAAAAAAAAAAAAAAAAAAAAAAATTAGGAAATAAATAAATTTATCAAACAAATACATTTTAAATTTGTCTGAAAACCCTACTTATGATCGTCTCAAAGATAACATACTTATGACGACCTAAAAAGAGATAAAATCACAGCTTTATTATGACGTTAATGATGTGTTGATTACGTCAAATAAAAGATGTCTTAATAACTTACTAAGCTTAGTATATCTATTTTTTTTTTGTATCTAAATGAAAAGATTCAACAATGCAATTGTTGTTCTAAAGGAATTTTATTGGGTTATTGGGCTGAATCGACATCAAACCTTCGATCTTGAATCTCTGAATGTATTTTTAGGATGTTATTTGGACATCTTTAATAATTAATTTTAGTAAGTTATTAATTTTAAAGCAGCTGTGGAGCATTAGTTAGAGTTCTTTTTTGTTATAACTTTGCAAGACAACTGTATAAATTGATAATGGTTGACAAACACAACACCAGATTCCAGCTGATTGATTTAGAAAATTAATTCTAAGTAGAGTCATTACTTGGTGATAAATTTAATTCTACATAAAAAACTTGACTGGCAGATTTTTATAAAGTTATGTCAAGGAAATCAACCAACCAATGAAAATTATACTTTTAAATCAAATCAAACAACACACAAATTAATTTTTGAAAGTTCTTTTTTTAACCTTCTTTGCTGGTATTTTTTTTGCAAAAAAATTTATTATTTTCAGAAATAATCATGAGTTTTAAAATAGAGTTGCCTTAAAAAAAATTAAAAATTTTATAAATGAAAAACTTTTGAGAAGTCTTACTTGTATAATTATTATTCAAAATCAATAATTTCATTTTACAAACTTTTATGTACATTATTTGTTATATATAATTGCAATTTGAATACATTCATTTGTACACAAGTCATATATAAATAAAGCAGATCGAAAACTAAAGTCATTTTGTTTTATAAAAAAAAACAAATGATTTAAATAAATGTAAAGATATAAAAAAAATCATTTATTAAAAAGGAATTTCACAAGTTGCACAAACAAGTAATTTAAAAATATCGTCAAATTCATAAACTCTAGAACTGTTAAGATCCTGAATTCGAACACCACCGATAGACTACAAAGTAAAAAAACAAAAACACTTTGAAAACATAAAATTAAAATACAATTATAACGATACATCTTATTATGTATAAAAAACTTAAATTGGATAGTTAAACTAAAGAGGCAACAAAAAAAAAAAAAAAACATACATGAAATCCAGGCCTTATTGCTAAGAGTAGAAGAGTGATATCTAAGTGAGAGCCTTGAGGTAGGGGTCCGAGAATCTAATATGTAAAATAATAAAAATAATATATAAAATAATAAAAAATACATAAAACAATAATAAAAAGTAACCAGAAAAAAAAAGTTGAAAACTATCAAATACCTTTCCCGATATTCCACACCACAACATTGAATTGTTATGAGGATTTGTAAGAAACAATTTAGCTTCTATTTTTGCAGGACTTATAAAAAAAAAAATATTTTTGATTTCAAAACATTGGAAAAAAAAAAGTGCATAAAAATGATTATAGCCTTAATTTCAGCATGTAAAAAAACAAAAATTAATTTATTTGTTGCACTCACCATCTTAAAGTTATATGCTAATGTTTATAAAATGGTACCTTGAATTTTCAAGTCGACATTTAATTTGAAACTGTTTTTCTAAACTAACAACATCTGGTGCTTCAATTAAAACTAATTTTACATCACGCTCTGACGGAGTCTACAAAAACAACAAAAACAACAATAAAAAAACATGAAAAAGAAACAAACTAAAATGTTTGGATTTCAGTTTATCTAACTTAACTTATGTTATGGAAGCATAAGCTTTAAAACCAAAGCTTTATCTAAACATAATACTTTACCATAAGAAATTGTTGTAGAGGTATGACAGCTAATTTTTTTTTGTATGTATGTAATGACAGCATAGAAGGACTAAAAGCTTCCTTTTTTTTTTGTAAAGGACTATGATAGCTATAATTTTTTTTTGAATAACTAGTCACATAGAAAAACAGATTGCATAAATGGCATTATTCAAACTGTGTCTAGGTACTGTACTAGAAACTATAACTTTATTTTTCATATATCACCTTTATATTGAGTCAAGGTTTTTAAACCATCAAACATGTTTATATTAAACATTTTTTAAAAAACAAAACATTTTTTAAAAAAGCTACAGTTTCTTAAAAAATTTTCAACTGAATTTTTTTCTTTCATTAATATTTTAATATGCAAACTAATAAAAACTAAAAACATATTCTTATATCCAATGAAAAATACAAAACAACGCAAACCAATTAAAAAAACAATTTAATGAAACAGTTAATATATATATATATATATATAATATATATATATATATATATATATATATATATATATATATATATATATATATATATATATATATATAGGACTTTGGAGCTGCTCTAGAGATAGAGCCAGAGCCATCCGGAGATGAAGCCAGAGCCATCTGGAGCTATTGTTTTTACAAGGAGCTGAGCCATAGCTGGAGCTGAAATATTCCTAGGTAGAGCTGGCTTTGGAGCTGGCTCCAAGCTAGCTCTTCTCTTTAATAATTTGGAAGATCAAAGTATGAGTATTTTTTTTTTAAAGGGATTCTTATGCACTATGAAGTTATTTTTTATATAATTTTTTTTTAAATTACACAAAAAAAGGAACATGAAGAACATTTATGACCGGATACAAACAAGAAAGTGCAGAAGTTTGGGAAAAAATCTTAGTTTTTCAAGAAGGGTTTAAAAATACAAAGATTGAGGTGATGTGCTGCTTTGTTCAGCACATCACCTCAATCTTAGTATTTTTACACCCTTTGCAGCTAGCTAATTGAGATGCTTTAAAAGAAACATGCGCTGCCCAACTTTTGGCGAATGTCCGGTATGTTGTAAAGAAACCAAGAAATTTATAATATATTTCTAGCTGCAGTTTGTGTTGATGCTAGTTGTAGAATAGTTGATGCTAGTTGTTAGAAGAGAAACATAAGCAAAAGAAGCCTTAAAAACAATATCAGAAAATAACTTATAAAAGAGATGCCAAAAATATAACAGTATGTCAAGAAATAAGAAAAACAGCTAAACCATCTACAGCACTTCATTCAGTTTTAGGTAAATTTAATTCTGATGAAGAATTAGACAAGTTTGAAAAAGAGCTTGATAAAAAAGAAATATTGAGAAGTGTGATCAAAATTAATTTTTTAAAATAAAAACACTTTTAATACAAACTGGCACACCAAACGACCACATCACGACCAGAAGAAAGAATTGTTTAAAATGGACGAATGTCACAACCAGAAGAAAAAAATCATATAAAAGTGAAATCAGCTTTTGAGGAAATTAAGGAATTCCCCAAAAGGATACAGAGTTGTCATTTCTATGGCTTTCTCACAGGCAAAGTGTAGAGAAGCTATTTTGTTCACTTGAGTTTATATCAAGCAATCTTGATACAACCAACAAAACCTGATATTTATAAAATATTTTATTATTTTAATTTGTTTCTTCTGGAGCCGCTCCAGAGCCAGAGCTGAAACTAAAAATTTTAATAGAGCTGGAGGTGGAGCAAATTTTTTACCTTGGTTTCAAAGCCCTGAATATATCTATATATACATTGCTAAATACATAAATAGTTTAAAGATTTCTTGTTTAAACAAGTTAATAAGTAAAGTGGAAAACACAAATATCGTGAAAATATATATAGTTTTAAAAACCACTTAAATATTGCATTTAGTTTTATCAAGGAGATATAAAAGACTGGAGGGAGAATAAAGTTAAAGATTCTCATGGAATAATCTAAGCAGTAACATGAAGTTTAACTCTTCTAATATTTTAAAAAAAGTTTATATTGATATAAAATTCTAAAAAATAACAAAACAAAATACGTCCTTACAACTCAAACGCTAAGCACGCTTTGATAAAATGAATAAAGAAGATTTTGATTACATAATTGGTGCCATAACTCATTGGATACGCACGTACCTACAATTTATGTTTAAATCCAGCAAAAAATACTAAAACACAAAATCTAATCCTAGAGAGATATAATAAATTCCTTGCCAATAAAACATTCTTTAAAATAGTATAAAAACCTATAGCTAAACGGGGAAGCAAAAGATAAGGTTCAACCAAGTAGTAGAGATTGTTTAAAGTTTGACTAATTTATACCTTGTATCGAGGTATTCAAAAACGATTACTTTATGTAGATCATGCTTTTTGTTGTGATTACTGATTGATAGTTGAAGCCAACCTTAAAAACTAATCCAGTCAACTTTTGAGAAAGTAACCCATTTTGATTACAGCTTACAAAGTTTACAAACTACATTTGAAGTTCTTCCTTTTTTAACGCAAGGGCGCCATTTTGACCTCCGCTGGAATAATTATACAATGAAATTTTTAAATGATTTTTGGCTTTGTTCTCCCTCCATTCTATGGAATAGTTATTTTTAGATTAGATACTGACAGAATCTTTCAACAATTTTTAAATTTTGAAATACTTATAGTAATCAAAACAATTTAAAAAAGACAAGTAACACTAACTTGAAATACTTTATCAACTTTTAGATATTTTCGTTCGTTGTTTCATTTCCTTTGTTGCTTAATTTTATTGTTGTTTAATTATTTTAATTTGAGATTGTTAAATAAAAATTTCAAAATCGTGCACCCTATCTTTCATAATAAAAAACTGGTGTAAAACCAGTTATCTGGTTTAACAATTTGAAAAAACTGAAAACCGTTTTTTTGAAATTTATATAAATAATAGAAAATTAAATAATAATAGTAAGCTAAACAAACTACTAAATTAAATATTATGTGTTAAATATATATTTTTTCTGTTTAAAGGCATATGGTTTCGCACTTGTGTGGTTTGGAACATTAATGGATACACACCTGCGTGGTTTGAAATATTAATGGTTCCACAGTTGTGTGGTTTGGAATATTAATGGCTCCACATTTGTGTGGTTTGGATGGGTTTCTTTAATGTCATTTTATTATTAATAGATTATGGAAGAAACAAGGCAACTTTTTACAACTTTTACAAATCTTCATGATGTTAACCTGTTTTGCAGATCAGAACAGAGTATATATATTTATATAAATATATACAGAAACAGTTTTGAATGAACAGATTTCTTTTGTCAAATAAAAATAATGCAAATTTTGATCAGTCACAGATGCAGATCAGAACTTGAATACTTTGTTCTTTTAAATTAAATGCACAAATACATCATATATACTTCAAACAGACTACATAATTGCATTTTAAACTTTTATTGTTAAAAAACTTGATTTGAAAGAAAAAAACAATATAAAAAACAGAAAACAATTTAGAAAAAAAGAAACAAAATGAAAAAGAAGTTTTATAAGTTCAGCATATTGAAATAAAGAAAAATAATTTATTTTTAATGTTATACCATTCTTTGAAGTTGACTTGTCTGTAAACGACCAGTCTCTCCAAAATTAGTTCTCCAAACAATGTCTAATTTTCCGATTGATAACGGAGGCTTTTTTAAATAAAGACGAAAAAAATATAAAATATTTAAATATAATTTTATAAAATAAAGAACAATTTTAACCTAAAATAAAAACCAATAATAACCAGACTTTGGTTCGCATCTCTTTCGAATCATCACATTTAGGAAGAAGTTTAAATAGATATTGCCTTGTATCCATTGGATTCATGTAACTACAACCATATACTCCATCAAGTTTGTTGTCTTTTGGTAAAAAATTAAGAGATTGTACATGATAATACTGTGAAGGTTCTAGAGTCACTTGTTCCATGCACATATTTGAAGTTGTTATGTTCTGAACTTGAGCTTCAAGGAACACCAGATCATTCTAATATTATTATGTAATACATATTAAAGCAAAAAAAAAAAACTAAAATAAAAAAAATAATAGAAAAACTATATTTAAAAACTTTATAACCTTTACAAATAATATATGAACAGTATTATTTACACACACGCACACACAAATATATATATATATATATATATATATATATATATATATATATATATATATATATATATATATATATATATATATATATACATATATATATATATATATACATATATATATATACACACATATATATATATACATATATATATACATATATATATATATATATATATATATATATATATATATATATATATATATATATATATATATATATATATATATATATATATATATATATATATATATATAAAGCTTTTTTTGATTGTAAATTGTTTTTTATTTTTGATGGCTTTATTTGATCTTTATTCAGCCATTGCTAGAGTTTACTAGCTCCAGCCTTCCTTTCTTACTAGCTCCAGCCTTCCTTTCTAAAATCTGATTGTGACAATATGGAAAGAATCCAGCTAAATGAATCCAAGCTACTAAACTGGTATCATGAAAGAGATTTCTTTCCTCATGACTCAAAGCATTAAACCTAATTAGACCTGATACAAATGTTTAAAATTATGCTTAAAATTATGATATCGACAAATTAGAAAAAATTATTTGTTTACCAATTATTAACAGCTTATTGAGAGGTCACTATTTTAAATGTTTCAAGCAAATTTTCAAAAAAATCTACCATAAATCTCTTATTTGTCCTTGTATGTAGTACTATTGTCATACTTAGAATGGTTCTTTTAATGATAAGCCTTTCTCTTATGATCTAGCTTAAAAAAGCTTTATAAATGTAGCATGCAAAGCTTAGCCATTGTCCCAATAAAGTATAACCAGGTATTATTTCTTATTCAATCAACCAAAACTAAATCTCAAACAACTAATTATTCAGCAAATGAGTACCTTTTTACTGTAACTACTACTTCATGCTCTGAAAATATTTATTTATCCAGTTTCTTTCCTCGCAAATCAATATTATGGAATTTTCTCCTCTCTTTATGTTTTCCTGAATCAAACAACTTAAATTGGTATGGTGCAAAAATAACTGCAATACTTATATTTTTTTATCTTTTTTTCTTCTTCAATTTAGCATAAAAAAGTATATATAAAATATATACTTATATTGGATAAAAAAGAGATAATAAAAAATAAAAAAAACTATACTAAACCATTTTTATTGCAAAACCTTACAAGACAAATTCGTAACAAGTGTTTAAAATATTGAATGGGCAAAATGCTACTTGAACTAAAGAGTTTGATGCGCTGAATTCATTGAAATAATTCCTGCTTGTCATAGAAAAAAAAAAACTTCTGCTTGTCATAGAAAAAAAAAAATTTCTGCTTGTCATAGAAAAAAAATAATTTCTGCTTGTCATAGAAAAAAAATAATTTCTGCTTGTCATAGAAAAAAAAAATAATTTCTGCTTGTCATAGAAAAAAAATAATTTCTGCTTGTCATAGAAAAAAATAATTTCTGCTTGTCATAGAAAAAAAATAATTTCTGCTTGTCATAGAAAAAAAATAATTTCTGCTTGTCATAGAAAAAAAAAATAATTTCTGCTTGTCATAGAAAAAAAATAATTTCTGCTTGTCATAGAAAAAAAATAATTTCTGCTTGTCATAGAATAAAAAATAATTTCTGCTTGTCATAGAAAAAAAATAATTTCTGCTTGTCATAGAAAAAAAATAATTTCTGCTTGTCATAGAAAAAAAATATTTAAAAGAAAAGTAGAGTTAAAGAAAATTTTTAAAGTTGAATTTATTCAAAGCATAATTATTATGCATAATTTTTCCATTGTATTTAAAAAAATAACCTTCCCCGAGATAAACCCATCATCACAATTATCATGATGGATTTAAGAGTAAACAACTTTTATGATTCTAAGATGGATAAGAAAGGAAAAAAAATCATTTTAAAAACTGTAGTTATATTGTAAGCACAATTAATGCATATGCATAGATATTTGTTATAAAAAAAAAAAATTACCTGCCCATTATAAAATTTTGTTTTCACTTCAAGAGGTTTCAATACCTAAAATAAAATAACAACTTAGATTTAAAAAGAAAAACCTGTGAACATAAAAAAAAAATTTAGTTACCATATTATTTATTATTTAAATACGGAAAAACCTGAAACTTGTAGAAACGTCTCATATAAAGTTTTTCACCACTTTGAGATGAGTATGTGACAGCACAAATAAGTCTAAAAATAAAAGTTAAAGTTGAAATCATGTTCATGATAATAAAGTTGAAGTTAAAATCATCACACAACAATTATTATGATCAGTAAATTTATATTTATGATTATGAGAATGGTGCTGATGACGATGAACAATCATCATCATCGTAATATACATAGAAAACTTTTAGAAGTTTATGATTGAGACACTTATTTTTGAGAAATCGAAGTTGGTTTATATGCATATATATTTAAGTATTTGGTTTAACACAATATATTTTTCTTAGTATCAGATAATACATCAGTTGTATATGTATATCATCAGTTGATTTAAGTACTTTACTCATTTTCATCTTTTTCTTAAAATTTTTATAATTAAAACTGTATTAAAGTATAACAAAATGCCGACCCTACTATTTCTTGAGAGTAAATCATGTGCTTTAATCAAGTAGATGCTTAAATACAATATGTAAACATATTATTAAAGTGTTATTATTATTATTATTATTGCTATTATTATTGTTACCATTATTATCATTAAATTGTTGTTAAATATTAAAACATTTTATATATTATACATACTTACATTTTATATATTATACATACTTACTATAATCATACTAACTATAATCAAACTTTTTTTCTTGCTTTTTCTCCCAGCTCATGAGAAGCATATTTGCATTATTTACACATACTTTTTATACATATTTTTAAAATTGAAACTTTGAACTATTCAATAAAAAATAAAAAAAATTAAATTAACATGTGAGTGCCAAGCTCTTTCACTTCATAACTTATGACATCATCAACACTTTGATCAGGTGACAACATATCTTTAGGTTTAAAAGCTGTTAATTGAAACCGTTGAGTTGCTGTTTGCATATCTGTCTAAAATATATATAAAATTATATTAAAATGGTAATGCCAATTATAAACTGTTTATATATAAAACTTTTGTTTATGCTACTAACTATACATTTTGCTAAAAGGTTTTACTTATAGTATTATTGGAAGGTAAGTTTTACTTTTAGTGTTACTGGAAGGTAGAATTTACTTATGGTATTACTTGAAGGTAGGTTTTACTTACAGTTTTACTGAAAGGCAGGTTTCACTTATAGTGTTACTGGAAGTAACACTATAAGTAAAACTTATCTATTATATTAAGATAAGTAAAAAGCATCTATGCAATTAAGACAGGTAAGCATTAGATTAATTCATAGTGAATATATACAAAAATATTAAGATATTCATATTAACTCATATTCATATTAAATTAATTCATATAAAAAAATGCATATTAGCTGAATATACACAAAAAGTTCAATTTATACAAAAATTTAATTTTTTAAAGAAATTCAGAAAAATCTGTCAAAAAAACAAAACTTCTTTTGAATTGCTGTTGTTCCAAGCTAAATTTAAAAAAAAATGTTTTGGTAAGTAAGATAAAACAAATAATTACAAATATAAAAAGCAGTTATACAAATAGCAGAAAAATTATAGGGTAGAGTGAGAGTTAAGTTGAAACTCACAAGAAGAAATAAAAGCCTCTGTGTATGAATCCAGGAGTTTACATTAGAGGCACAATTCTCAGCAGAGTCAAAAGAAATCAGCCCAAGGAATATCGTAAAGAAAATAATAAATGGAATCTAAAGTAAGCTTTAAGGCAGTAAGAAGTGGGTGAATCTGGTAAATAATTATATTCAAATTATAAATTTGATTGGGTGAATCCGGTAGAAAAAAAGATTAATGTTTTGAGATCATAGTATATTATGAACCCCTCAAATAGATTGCGCTGGAAGTAGACTAAGAACTTGCAGTAGGTATGGTTATTTTGCCTCCAGCAAAATCATTTAAATTAATTTCATTATCAAGCCTTAATAAATAAAGATTCTCTGCGTTTACAGACATTCCAGCGATATTTAAGATGTGCTAAAATGTTCATAAGTATTGATCTCCGAACAATTTCATTGTTCTGATCAAGGGATAACTCAAAGAATGTTAGCAAATGAATATATGATTTCTCAGTATCTTGAATAGAAATTTCATTATCTTTTAAAGTAATTTTTTATAGAGTAGTAATTTATATACAGTAGTAATTGGAAAACAAATAGAAACTGAGCACAAGTTTGGATCAAAGATAAAAAAACAAATCAAAGAGACAAGGTAAGTGATTTTTGTTGTCTGGATTTAAGTAAATGATGGAGAAAACAAGTTTTTGAAAATTAAAGAATAATAGCCATCAACACTGTGATATATGAAACATATGTACAAGTAAAAATGTGTTTTCCCTACCTGCACTTGTACAGCTAGCGAAAAAAACAAATAAATTTTAAGAGATGGATGAATAGTTATTTTGAAGACCACAAATATTTGTAAAGGATAAATTGAAACAATATGGTGGTTATAATGCTTTTTCTTATTGAGTATTTTTAAGTAAACTATTTATCTTTTATTTATTTTTTGTATTTGTTTTTACTATATCCTTTTAATTGTTTTTACTATATCCTTTTAATACAGTACTTCAATTAAGGTCAGTTGCACACCATGGGCAAAACATAACTGTTAATTCACAGGTCAACTTTTCTCTCAACTTTTTTTATTAAGCGCTTTCAGTCATAATACCAATAATTTTTGCAAATCAAGCTTTGATTTTCAAAAATATATTATTATAAAATATAATAAATATATTGTAGATCTTGTATATATATATAAATATATACAAAATCTGCAAGCTTTAGTTTTATTATCTCAAAATATATCTGCAGATCTTTATATCTGCAGATCTTTATATCTTTATATATTATCTTTATATCTTAATATATTTTTTTATATATTATCTTTATATATATATTATCTCTTCAGATCTTTATATCTTTATATCAGATTTTTATATCTGCAGATCATTATCTCAAAACATGTCTGCAGACATTGATTCTGTTATTCTGATTCTGTTATTTGAATTAGACATAAGCACCAGAATTAACAAATCTATAAATGTAAACTAATATTCACGTAACAAAAAAAATTTATTTAAGATAAAATTGTGAAAAAATAAAATGCAACTGAAAAAACTTTTAAAATCAGGGCCTCATGATTAAAAATAATTCAATAAAAGTTTAGTTTTTAGTTTTAATGTTATAAGGTAGAACCATTCCACAGTAAACTGATTCACATCACATAAAAATTTTTGTAGACCATTTTACAAAAAATTCCACAAATAAATTCTTTTAATTAGACATAAAAAAAGTTTACTTTTCAAAATAAAAATGAGTTTTGTATAACTTATATACAATTTAATAATTAAAAAAAAATTAAATATATAAATTAAATATTTAATATAACTTAATAACTTAAATAATGCTAATTTTTTCTATTATATATAATATATATTATATGTCTATAATAAATAATGCTAAATTTTTCTGTTATATATGGCAAGCACTCAACATAAGTAAATCCACTACATAAATAAATCTTTTATAAGTTTTATCAACACCTTAAACTTTAGATCATAATTTTGAGTATAAAAAGTAACATACCTTGACAGAAATATCTTTGCAACATTGATTACTATCATTAAGAATGCTAATGTAGCAAGAAAATGTCTCTCCGAGATAAATGCTTCTACAAAATAAGTATATTTTATTTCTTCGAAGCTATAGTTTTATAGCTTAATTTACTTATCCGAAACAAAACCAACAAAACTTACCCAAATGCTTGTGGAAGAGAAAGAATTTCACCAACTGCCATTTCTTCTGCTCCTTTTAAAGCACTTATATCATTCATCATTTCATTATAAAACAAATCTCCTGTGAATAAACAACAACTAACATAGATAAATAACACAGTTATTTATATATTACAATAAAATAGTAATAATACATTATAACAATTTATATTACAATAAAATTTAAATCGGGTAATTTTGCCACTTTAGAAATTTCTCCACCAATTGGTGTATATCTACTTTTATAACTATAACTCTATAAAATTAATTGAGAAAAATAATCTATAAAAAAACAGGAAATTTAAAATTCTTATAAAAATCAAATTATTTATTTCCATTCAAAATTTAGGACTAAAATAATTAGAAATTTTTCAAAGAATCTTTGTATTGTTTTTTTCTTTCTAATTTTGATCGATTCCAAAGATATTACAGAAATACTAAATGGGGGAATTTCGCCACCTATTTATATTAAATAGAAATGCGCTCTAATTGAATAATTAATATTATTTCCATTCCTTTTGTTTTGGTAATTAATTTCTCAGGTCATGTTGGTCTTATAATCAATTCAAATTATTTAAATCGATCAATTATCAGCAACAATGCTGTGAAACTACAAGAGAAAATCCGACACCAATTATAGTGAAGAGCTAATAGAAAAAGCCATTGCAAAAGTTAAAGCTGGCGAACTGAGTTGCAAGCAAGCTGCAGAATTATACTGTATACCTCGAAGGACACTAGAAGGAAGAATTCAATATCCAGAAAGGATTGCTGGGGCTAGTACATTAACAAATCTCCTAAAATATCCTACATTTCTGAAAAAAAAAGAAAAAAAAAATAGATAAAAAAGGTGGAGGGAGCATGCCCCGATACCTCCTGGTATCGATGGCCATGCCACAACTAATTGAATATTGTTAGATTTCTTTTATTTAAATGATTGTAAATGTGTTTTAAAGATTTATAATTTAAAATAAAAAATTTATGTTGTAAATGACGTAGGTGGCAAAATTCCCCCAAATTACATTTTATTGAGGTAATTTTGCTACCCAATTTTTTCTGTTCTAATTGTTTAAAAAAAAAGAATTAAAAAAATTAAAGTATGTAAAGTTTATAAAAATCTTATTAAAAATAAAAAAAATTTGATTTTGATTTTTAGTTCTCAAGTTATTTAAATTGAAAGAACTAGTGGCAAAATTACCTCATATCTCTCCCTCTCTCTCTCTCTACATATATATATATATATATATATATATATATATATATATATATATATATATATATATATATATATATATATATATATATATATATATATATATATATATATATATATATATATATATATTATGGTGGTTCAAAATTATAAATTATTGAAATTCATTTCTCCACAAGGCTGCCTTTGTTCCTACTAATATTTGCAATATTGTAGTCAAATTTGAAGCAAATCTGATAATATTTAGGGGTTGCTATAAACTTTGACTTTTTGAACACCATGATAAAAAATCAAAAAATTTAAGTTTTCACTATTACTTAATATCAAATTTAAAAATTAAAGAAACTAACAATTTAAATCAGGTAAACAAGAATGAATATAGATCATCTAATGAATATAGATCATCTGATCAATTTTCATTAAAGTATTTCAATGTTTCATAATTTTTAAACAAAAATATAGTATCAAGCAAGAATATTGTGAATATGTTGAAAAATGTACGTTTATTAATCAACAATTTGCAAACAATGCAAACTCTACTAGATCTTTTTTCTCTTGAACAGTCAGAGTAAACTGGTCTTGAAATTGTACCATTTTCAGAGCATAGATGGCTTTAGGCATCGAGCATGATGCATCACTCCTGGAGGACGAAATGTTATCTCAGCACCAACAACGCCTCCCCCAAGGAAGAACAGACATAATAAAATTAGTTCAAGATAATCCTCCCTAGGTTGCTTTTCGTCGATGGCTTTGGTGTAGAATGCTACCGAGTTGCTTTCGAAGGACTTCCATATCTCCAATAAGGAGCTCATCTTTAGCTGGAGAGAATCTCGTTTGCTGAATATATGGCCACTTCTTTTGAAACTGTTTGAACAAGCCAACCGCAGGTCCCCCTGTTCCACCATAGAGAGCTGTAAAGACATTTTTCATAACAACCTCCAGAACATGCTAGCGGCAACCAATACTTACAAGCTCACGATCAACTGCCTCCTTGATTAAAACACATGCTCCTTTGTGAATACCTGTGTTGGGTGATGTTGTGTCAAAGACTAAACCCTAAAGTTTGTCTCAAATTTTCCAATCATCCAAGATCTTTAAACAAGCTGCTGCTTGTTCCACTCCTGTTCCTCTTCCAATTTTTGGAACAGCTAGCAATATCTCCAAACTATTTCCAGTTACAATCACTGCAACACGGTCCACAGTTTCTTTTGAACCAGTAATATCTGGAAGCAGTTTCCCATCCCAGTGTAGAAGCAATGGAAATTTAATGGAAAAATTATCTTTGTCATTCTGAGTAATGTGTTAACGAGTAGACATTCAAGACCTCCTGATTGTACTTCAAGACAGACTTAAGTCTGCAAGAGGATGTCCTTGCGTTTTAGCCACTGAAGCAACAACAAACATAGCTTTGCGATCTGGAAGGTTAACTCTGTCCAAAGCTCCAGCAACTTCTAGGCTTGACAAAATACTTTTCAGACGCTTTGGCTTTGGTGTAGAAGAAACAGATTGCAATGCAGAAGACAGAATCTCAAAACTTGGGTCATCATTGCTGTCTTGACTGTCTTCTGAGCTGCTGATGTTGGCTGAGACAGGACCACTGGAGTGTAGCTTAATTCTTATTTAGAAGCTGATAGGAATCGTATAATTTCCGAAATTTCTTTATAAAATCGTATAATTTCCGAAATAACTTAAAAAATTCAAGTGCAGAAAAGCAAGAAAATACTTTGCTGTTATCTGGCTGATAGGGCAAACCTCCTAAAAAATTGAAAAAAGATTTTTCCTTATTTAACAAAAAGAGTATAGCATAGAAAGTTGAATATAATGTTGAAATATTCTTTTTAACTATTCTGCATAACTGTTAATTACTGTCAAGATTTTCTGAAAGTCCTTTTTCAAAACTAAAATTATTGTTTTTTTTGTAAAAAACCAACACATGTTAATGTTTAATTAACATGTGTTGGTTTTTTACAAAAATTAAAACTTTCATTAATAAGTTTTTATTAAAAAATATATTAAAGCCTTTAAAAGAGGTTTCATCAAAAAATTATATCAAAGTTTATAACAGGAATGTCAGAGAATAAGTGGAAAATAATTTTTACCACATCATTAAAAACCAGCTTTATTTAACTATGCTTGAAATATAAAAATTAAATTTAACAAAATCCCTTTTTTCGCATGGTCTATATTCTTTATTTTCTTCCCCTCCCCCTCCCCTACTTAATATTTTCATAAGGTGACTACTATGCTTATATTTGCAATTATATTCAAAGCCTGAGGAACTTATAAATTATATTTGAAACCTGAGGAACTTATAAATTATATTCAAAACCTGAGGAACTTACAAATTATATTCAAAACCTGAGGAAGCTGTCAGTTAGAGCTGAGTTAGTGCTGTCGCAAATTCTTATCGAAAAATTTCCAATGCAGAGACTTTGAGTGATGGACACATTTTTTACAAAATATTTTTAAATATTAAAAAAAAAAAAAAAAAAAAAAAAAAAAAAGTTTTTAAGAAAAATAAATAAATTAAAAATGAGGAGGTCAAAAAAAGAAGAAGAAAGAAACAAAAAACAAAAACAAAAAAATTGAAAACCAAATCAAAACAAATAAAAAAAAAAAAAGAGAGAAAAACTTATACTAATTTTTTTTACAGTTTTTCAATTTTTTTACAACAAATGTATCAGTACTCTAAAAACAAAAAAAATTTCTGTCTTTATTATTATTAAATTTATTATCAAATCTATTATCATATTAGCAAGCCATGTTTTGGCTAAACTAAGTCTCCATTAGTTAAAATCATGCCAAAAATATCTGATTAGAAACAATATAAAATTGATTTCTTTGTAAATCTGTCTTTTTAAAAAAAAAGGTTTCGTGTGATAAAGATTGGTACTGTTATTAATGAATATGGAAGAGTGGGATATCATGCTAGATAGGGCACCATGAAATATTGAAATTGTGGAGGCATCTTTAAAGTTGTGAAACCCACTTTCACATAGTGAAACAGTTACTACTAGAGGTATGTTTTGAAAAAAAAACTATATCATTTGACATCATTAGGCATGCAAGGGGTTTTAGGTTTTATCTTATTTAATGTATCTATGGTTTAGTAACATTATTTTGTAAACTACAATCCATAGGGTTTTTACTTCAATAAACAAAATAATAAAAAAAAAAAATTGATACTAAAAATAAAGCAATTGTTTTATTTTAGCAAGTATGGGGTAACTTGATACATTACTTTTCTAGTTTTACTTTAAATAGCCTCACAAGTTATATTTTGGCAATTCGTATATTTAATTTTGTAGGTAAATATTTTTCCAACAAATAAAAACAATCGCCAAAAAAAAAGACATTAAAAAAATTGTTATGAAACAAATATCAAAAGTGTATCATAGTGCCCCACTCTCCCTACATTGACAAAAATGCCATCCGAATTTTCTAATAATGATTTTTTTACCTTTATTACAGAAGTAAACCGAGAAAACTATAATAACAAACCAAGTCACGTCAGGTGTATGGTCACCATGATCACCAAGATCATGAGTTTGATCGTACCAATCAGTGTCAGGGTTAGATGTATGGTTATTATGATCATCCTGCTACTGGTAACATGTAACCCAGTGCAACTTGTATTACATGATTTTAAATACTATTCAGTTTTATTATACATAAATTATCCAGACCATATTTTAAAAATCCAAAAATTGTTTGGGTAAAATATCCGTAAAAAACCCAGAATATATTTTTCTCTTAATTTTGCTTTAATCTTTTCTTAATTTTGTATGAGTGATTAATGAAAAAGCTTAAAAAACAATTATATTACAAATTTTTATACCTAAACATGTATATATGTAAAATGTTTTGGTTATTCGGAAAAACTAAAAGTTGAGAAAAATACCCAGAATTCCAGAAATATCCGGCAAAAGATAATCCCTGATTATAAGTTAGAATTTAATTTATTCATTTTACATGATAAACTAAATAAAATAAGACTGTTATTTGTTGACACATAAGTTTATATTATATATATGAACTTATGTGTCAATAAATAACAGTCTTATTTTGCATGTGTATATTAACATACATTTTGTATGTTCATATAGTGAGTGTACATAAACATATTTCAGTATATTTTATATTTCTCTGTATGTGATAGATCATCCATATTTTAAAAATCCAGAAAATTGTTTGGGTTAAATATCCAGAAAAAATCTAGAACATATTTTCCTTAATTTTCCTCCTAATTTTCCTTTTAGCTGAATTATTACAAATTTTTTTTCAAACTTTTCTTAATTTTTGTATGAATGATGAGTGAAAAAGCTAAAAAAAACAAATATATTACAAATATTTATAACTAAACTTATATGTATGGAAAACGTTTAGGATATCCGGAAATCCAAAGTAATAAAAAAAAAAAGTTAAGAAAAATATCTGGAATTCTGGAAATATACGGAAAACATAATCCCTGGTATGTATAACTTTTTAGGAAAAAAAAAAAAAAGGAATAGAAAAAATAAAAAACATTGATGGAAGTAGTCAAAAAAAAAAAAGATTATACTTTTCTGTGTTAATTTATTTAAAACCTTATGCTTCTTTTTAAAGGTATGTGAATATATGCATTTTTAAAATTATTAAATTTAATGTTTTAGCATTTTTATTATTTTAGATTAAAATATAGTGTTTGACTTCATTTTTTTAACAAGATTGTGCATCGTAATTGGCATTCTTTGTTAAAATAAAAATAATTGATTTTGTTAAATATTGTTTTACATACTTGATAAAGTATGTAAAACAATACCTAAGTTCATTTTTTTTTTTTTTTGACATACTAATTTATAACTTTTCAAATTTTTGTTTAATAACTTTTTATCGGTATTGAGGTTTATATATTATACTTACAGTTAATTCCTGTATGTCAAACACCAATTAACTCAATTACTATTAAAACTCTCCGGGTAATTTATACCTTAGATAGTTCAAACTTTGTCAAACAATTTTTTATCACCTTTCAGCAAATTTTTTTAGGATAACTCAATTATTTTGTATGGGAATTCTAAATAGAATAGGTAGAAAAATTCTATAAAAAAAAAACTGTTACAAAATAAATCATAATAAAAAATCATTTAAAAGACCGCTAGATTTTTAGATACAATTTTATTACCAAAAAATAAGGTCATTGTGTTGCTCAACATTTTTGAACTGTACAATGTACAATGCATAACTTTTTATAATAGTGCCAACTTAATGTTAATGCTTTAGCATTGAATAAAGAAAAATCGCCATAACTCAAGCTAATATCTCATATCAGCCAAAGTTAGACTCAATGGGAATTTCCTTTAGTCTACCATTCCTTGGTCCCTTGGAGTTATCAAAAATTAGCTGTATTCTAAAGTAGTTACATTTGATTTTTTTTATGTATTGTTTTACAAAAGACATTTTTGCATTGCTTTATTTGGAAAATATTCCTTGTAGAAGTGAACGAAAAAGGCTTAAGCAAGATGAAATTAATCATCTACAAAATGTAAGAAATGTGGCTAGACAAAGAGAAAAAAATTAAATTACAAGATTTATTACTATTCTATATTATAACTTTTTTAAAACAAATGAACTAGATCTGCTAGCATTGTAGTGGTAAAAAATTTTCTAATGAAACACGTTTTCTATATTGCTAGGGAAGATAGTTTTGCCATGTAGGTGGCCATGTTTTAGAATATATGTTCAAGTTTTTAGCTGTGTAGGTAATCTTAGGCCAGATCAAGAGATTCCTCCAACATATTGTCAACTGTATATCTATAATCCACTTGCAGCAATAAATTTTAGAATGCAACAACATGCTTCATTTACAACTCAAATGCTTTTGCATTTAAACACATGGCAGCATTTTCCTGAAATAACAGAACAAACTGAAAAGCAAGCCTGATGATGCCTTACATAAACATGTGAACAACCTTGAAAAGGATCATATTGTTAGAACAGGGAGTGTTGTAGTTTTGCCATCAAATTGTGTAAAAAGTCATAAAGTTTTAAAAGAAAACTTTGAAGATGTCATAATTAAGTATGGTAAACCAGACCTTTTTATTACTTTTACATTTCCACCCAAAATGGAAAGAGATTATTGAAAATTTATATCCAGATCAGACTGTTTATAATAAAACTGACTTAGTTACTATTGAAACTTAAATAACACTTTTCCAAACATATTATGCCAAACCATGTTTGGCATAATATGTATGGAAGAGTGTCCAGCCTAGGTCCTAAAACCCAGCATGTTTTAAAGTATTAACAAACTATTTAAATTTTAATTGAAGAACTAATTTGAATATAAAAACAAATATTCTTTATTAAAGTTTAGTAGAACCATTAATATAGATAACCCTAAATTGGTTTTAAAATTTTGCCTTTCAAATTTTTTTTAATTTGGTTTGTTTTTTCCCCTGCATTTTAGGATCATACATTTAAATTCATACTCAATTCTATTTACAAATATGTAATGTGCTCTTAAAAATATGCTAAGTGCTATTGTTCTATGTCATCATTGTAATGTTGTTGTGATGTTTTGTGTTTATTGACAGTGTGACTTACCTTTCCACTGGTGTCTATCATTTAAAATGATTAATTAGTTCATTAATGGAGCCAAGACAATAAATAAATACATTTGTTTATACCTCAGTTCAACTTTTTAACTTAAGTATTATTTATTGTCTTTAATAAATAAAATTGTGAATCCATTGTGATGTCTTCAAAGTTAACTAGTTTACTAAGAGCCAACATGAAATAACGTTATTGAACAACAGCAACAAGGACTGATGCACCATGACAGTAACTGAATTACAACAGACCAAAAACAGGTTACTTGTTTTCCAGTTTTTATGTTTTCTTTTTGTTTATCTACTTATCCATTAAATATTTTGTAAATTGTAAATTAATTTGTCAAACAGACTGGTTTGAAAAATTAAAACTTCTCAAAATTTTAGTTTAAAACATTTAGTTAATTAATTTAATTATGCGCATTAAACGCTTTAAAGGAAATAAATAATTTCTTTTTCAAAGAAATATTATTAATGGGGATACCAAAAATATAATAAAATATAAAATAAATAATTATAATATTTTTATAAATCTTCTCGTTTAATATTGAAGTTTTTTAAAATAAAAGTTTAAGATAAGAAGTTAGATTTAGAACAAAAAGAACTTCTTATTAATTATCTTGAAAAAAATAAAGTTTATTTATTATTATAACAAGTAATATGGTATTACGTGAATAATGTTAAATACTTATAAGTTATTAAGTATTTAACATTATTCATTTACTGAAAGCATAATAAAGTATCATTATTTTGTACCAGTTTTTAACACATAGTTAAATTTCAAAGCGTGCTTGATGAAATTTTCATAGTAATGAAGAAAAAAAAAACTAAACAATTTTTAAAGTAAAAAAAAAAATAAAAAAAAAATCAAATAATAAAAACCTTTAAAAAATTACATAAAAACCTTCATTTTATAATACTTTATATGAATATTTAAATAATAGCTATTAATTATACTAACAAATATTGAACACTGAATTAAATTTTACCAGGAAAATCATGTTCTTCAGCAGTAACATGGAGAGGAGACTTAATTGAAGGTTTTGTCAGTCGCATGACTGAAATAAAAGCAAAAATTGTTTATCATGATTTATCATAAACTGCTAATCAAAACTAAAGAAATTTTTTTTTAAACCTTTTAATACCAACAAATGATCTTTTTCTTTAACTTGGTCTTGCATTTTTAATCTATTATGTCATTTTTATATGCACTAAAAAATGAAGTGGTAAAGTGATTATATGAAGACAAAACAAGGCAAAAAAAAAACTAAAGAATATTTTTACAATGAATAATCATTAGTATATCTCTATGATTTGGAATATTTTATTAACTTAAAACACTTTGATTACCTAAATGTTACCTAATGTTATAACACAGTGAAGCAATATTCTAAAACTGTTTATGAACTTTAGTTAAAATAAACATTTT